TATTGACCGTTGTTAAGGACGCTCACATCTGCACAAAGAAGTCCGGTCGATTTATCTGTATACAGTTTGACTGACAAGACAAGAGCGACAAGAAAACAGCGGAGAAGTAACGCGGCAGAAACCCTCCTTTTTACGCAGCGGTCCAGACACAGACATCAAACGGCGACACATATTCAGTGTGCAGTTCCTTTGGCATTAGGGCAGGGATATCTAGATACTTCCCAAGCTTTGACATCATGAATTGTGCTACTTTTAAAGCAAGCAACGATGTTTTCAAATCTGTAATCAAAAAGCTCCGCCTTCCTGCCGTTGCTACGTTTTTCAAACGGTAACAACGGACTATTTTCCTTAGCGGATGCATGTCAATTTAAATCAATACATACAACTCTTTTTTAAATCAATAAAATCATTTTCTAAATCCATAAAAGCATTTCAATTAATATTGGGAGTCATATCATTACTTTGTTGAGAATGTGGCCGTGTGATAAGCGGGATAATTTGCAGCGACGCGGTCATTATGAAGAACACCTTCATGCAGATCTAGATCCCTCCGCCTCGCGTCGGGCTCCTGATCTGCCTGTCGGTGTTCTTTTCCCCATAATGACCGCGTCGCTGCACATTATCCCTTACTTATTTTTCTTGTTTCCGTTTTAGTTGCTTTAAAACGTCTATTTCTCTCTATTTGTATTTTATTTTACCCTTTTTTTTTTTAATACGAGAATAACTGAGAATCTTGGGTCGAAACGTTGGGTCTGCGTCACGCCTTACTGATCGAGACCATTCAGTATCCCCATTGGATCTTCAACGTGTACTCTCACACGTCACGTTCACAGTGATCCCTTTCTATTTACTACAAGACGAATGTGCCGTTTTATTTCATACAGTTCCATTCTGATTGAGACGGGGAAATAATCTAAACCTCACGCGTGGCGTTTCACTGTCGGGGGGGCGATGTAGCGTGTATGTAATTACATTGCAAATACTGACTTGAGCCCCACCACGGTATGGGTTAGCCCTACCACTGAGCATCACTCATTCACCAATGGGTAATGTTTAGATGGATTTTATTTGACTTTTAATATGTTATTTTATTTGCATTGTAAGATAAGATAAGACTTTAATACAGACAAAAATACAATAAAGGGCTGTGCAATTAATCGTATTTTAATTGCAATTACGTGTGCAGTGCAACATATTTGATCTAATTTATTTTAGTCTAATTTGTATTTATCATATTTATATATGTTTAGTAGCTTGTTGGAGTGCGCTCCAAAATATTTGTTGATCTTGTTTATTGGTATTTAATATTTTTGATATTATTTATTTAAATGTATCATTTATTTTTGTATTGGTTTTTCAGTTGAATTATACGTTCAGGGTAATCAACAGTTAAAAAGATACTGTTCAAATTATTATTTGTATTTGTTTTAAAGTTCAATAAATGGATGTTTTCAAAGTTAATGAATAATCGTATTTAATAATCGTGATATCAATTATTGACCCAAATAATTGTGATTATGATTTTGGCCATAATCGCACAGCCCTAATAAACACAGCAGCACGATAGTAAACTGTACACTAACAGTGCTGTGAAAAGAGCAATGAGATATCTACAGGAAACATAGACGTCACATCATTAATGTAAATAGTGACAGTATTTAGTAGTGGAAAAAATCAAAAACAAATGTAGTGGCAGATACGTAATTATTAATAATAATAATATTGCACATGTTATATAGCAGTGAGTGTTTAATTGCAATATTATTGATTATGTATCTTTCTTATGTATATTTGTTCTCATTCAGTGTGACCTTCAGGGGGATCGGGCCTTCATGAGTTTCCAGAGGAGGAGACGGAGTGGCTCGTAAAATAAAAAGTGTCCTCTGTAATGTCTAACATTAGCGGCTAGTGGGATGTGACGAACACAATGGATCCCATCAGTTCTGTAAAGCACGGTCAGGATCCACAGAGCGGGCACCAAGGGACTTTTTACGGAGAGTAATCATGCAGAAGAAGATGGATTCAAAATACTTTCACATGGTGTGATTTTGGAAATGATTCGGGCTGTTTCTCTGCAGAGTTACAGGAGAAACGACCTGTCGGATTTTTATGAAACTTGGAAGAAAGATATTATATTTAAGAGCAGATACAATTTAAGGGTTGAGACTCTGGGTGTTTCTCAATGTCGAGGAAGGATGCTCCAGAGCCACTATTTCAAGCATACTACTGTACGTCATCGAGTCCCTCTGAAGGACTGTTCCAATGTCCAGGCTCCTTGGAATTCTACCGAGGCCGGCGTCCATCGTAGCGAGGCTGCACCCGTGTATCCTCCGCGGTCTTAAAATCCCCACAATGCTTTGCACACGGACCAATTTCCAAAATCTGTGGCGGAAAATGTAAGGCGGGGCCTCTCATATGACGCACACCTGCACACTTGCTAGCCTGTTCCACTCTTCGTTCTCCGAATGCCAGGAAGGATTCTTGCCTCGCTTCTGAAGGACCTGACTCGGAAGACATGTCCTACCAAGGAAGCGTCCTCGACTTTGAGAAACACCCACAGACTAAGTTTCCCTTTCATTAAAGAGGACATTTTATGTTTTATGGTTTCATATTAGCATTAGCTCCACCTACTGTAAGAAAATAGAGGGTTGTGTTTTCTGACACTTGGTGAGTTCCCTGGAACACCGGGGACACATATTCATGTAGAAAAGACGTACAAAAGTGCATTTTGCATGATAGGTCCCCTTTAAAATATAACGAAGGCACACATTTGAGCATTTCATCAGATTGTTCCAGAAATAATATTGCTCTTTCTGCTTTGTGTGTTTGTTGTAAAACACCCGGAGTGAAAGAGGAAGCTGAACAACCTGATGACACTTAATATCTCGTATATATACATAAATAAAGCCCTTAAAGCAGCGGTGTCATTATGTAAATCCTGGAGTGAGCGGACAGCGTTCCTCTGCAGAGCGTTTTAAATAGACGAGTGGATTTCTCTCGGGGTCAATACTTTGACAAGAGCCTCTTTAATGCTAAAAGCAAAACACTGAGAGAGTGAGAGGACATTTCCTCACATCCTGTGTTTACAGAGAGCTTTGAAACAAGCAGTGGGTTGATTAATTAAATAAACAAGTTTTGATTATGTTTTGGAACATTTCGTCTTAAAAGTAACGTTTTTGTGTCTTAAAAAATATATATATATATTGTATTTGCTACTTCTGCGAATACTGCAGATATTGCATTTTTCATAGTATTTGTCATATTGTTTATTTATAATATATTACAATAAGTGTATTATATTATTTTTTATATTTATATTTCTTGTTAAAGGTGGGGTAGGTAAGTTTGAGAAACCGGCTCGAGATCGCTAGAATTAGAAAATACACAACCGGAGAAAATCTGCCACTTCCTTACAGAGCCCCTCCTCCAACACACACGAACACGCACATGACCAATGAGGGCACCAGATAAGTTTGTGCACAGATGGAAGGCTGACAGGCAGGTAGGCCATCCAGTTATTTTAGCCGGGCCGGCTCAGATGATTGGTCGTGCTTTTTACAGAACTACAGTTTCCACAGATGACATTTATTTATGGATTTTTTGTCAAAGTACTTCAGATATTCATTGCTATCGGGATGTTAAGAGCATTCCATGGAATATAACAAAAAGTGTATCTCGAGCCGGTTTCTCAAACTTACCTACCCCACCTTTAACATAAATTTCATTTTAAATCGCTTTTTAAAACGTTTTTAAAATGTAAAAAATTGTTTTTAAAATAAGATTTTAAAATTATTGTAAAAAAAATATTTAAAGTGGACCTATCATGCTATATTTGAATAATATAGTGTAGGACCATACCTATATAAGGAATATTTATACTTTTTTTTTTTTCAAAATACCAAACAGATCATGCATTTTAGCCATGCCTCATTTTGCTCAATTTGAAAAATGTTAGCTCTGTTTTAGCAAGGGCTGATTCAGTGAGAACAGCACCACCTACAGGCCTGGCATATGTACTACAGCGTCTCCAGCGCTTTCGAACGGCAATGGCCGTGGCTGTCTCCTCCTGATTGGTGGAGTTGGCCCAATAGCCGTAGCGCCACCGTCCTGACGTCAGGACAGTGTTCAAATCTGGATCAGTTTTTATCAGATCCGTTGCAGCCCCTTTTTTAGAGATTTGGGTATGGAGGAAAATAGAGAGGGTTGTGTTTTCTGACACTTGGTGAGTTCCCTGGAACACCGGGGACACATATTCATGTAGAAAAGACGTACACAAGTGCATTTTGCATGATAGGTCCCCTTTAAAGTATGTCAAAAAACGTTTTAAAATATGTCAAACATTTATTTTAAATGTCCATTATTTGTTTTTATATGTCAAAAAAAATTAAATTAAATATGTAATTTTTTTTTTTTTTTAATATGTCAAAACACGTTTTCAAATATGTTAAAAACAAGTTTAAAAAATATTTTAAAATAATTGTAATCATTAAAAAATAGTACCTTTCAATATAACCTTATTGGCAATAAATATAGAAATAATAAATACTTGTGTTGTTTTTTCCTGCGTACTTTATCAACCTCATTTTCTTGCTCGTACTAAAATGCTTATAACTTCTTTGTATTTTTTGAGTATTTCTACTAGAGTTGAGAATTCACTTACAGACGACGATCGTCTTCATCCTGCTTGCGCTGCTGATCTTCCTCATCCCTCCTCTTCTTCTCCCTCTCCATCTCCTCCTGGATCTTCTTCAGTCTCTCGCGCTCCTCTTCCTCCTTCTTCTTGTTCTGCATGGCCGTCAGCAGCTGCTCCGACCGGGTCACAAGAGCCTTGAACTCGTGATCGATCTCCATTCGAGTCATGATGGTGCTCTGACGGAGAGAACGAGAACACAACAAACTTAGAAAAATAGGGCTTCTGAAAAGTCGTTTTTCATCACGAAGAGTTCTGTAGATTCTCTGATAAAGAGCGGCTGAGAGAATTAAAGAGGTTTACACACACAGCTTTCTAGCATTCACACCGCAATTTATTCAGGAATTGCATTCACTAGTTCCCCTTGTTGTTGTTGTTGTTGTTCCCCCTCACCTTGATTTTGATCATGAGTGAGTCGATGGTGCCCTCCAGGTCCTGGATCTGTTTGGTCATCTCCTGCTTCCCCTCCTTCAGGCCGGAGATCACCTCGCTGAAACGGTCCATCCTCTTCTTCAGGTTTCTCACCTTCACCAGGCCGTCGATCCTGAACACACACACAGTATTATACACCAAAGCCAATGTATGTTGTATGTAATTGTTCTGCTAATTTGCACGTTTGTCACTCATGTTGCCACACACACAGTATGTGTTCACTTACTGGGAAATTATCCTGACTGCCAACATTTGCAACTCACTTTCCCTTTTTCAGTTCCCTGACAATTCGCTGCGTGTCATTTTTCACACACACACACACACACACACACACACACACACACACACACACACACACACACACACACACACACACACACACACACACACACACACACACACACACACACACACACACACACACACACACACACACACACACACACACACACACAACACACACACACACACACACACACACACACACACATCACACACACACACACACACACACACACACCACACACACACACACACACACACACCACACACACACACACACAACACACACACACACACACACACACACACACACACACACACACACCACACACACACACACACACCACACACCCACACACACACACACACACACACACACACACACACACACACACACACACACACACACACACACACACAGGGTCTCTGCTATTTATCTGTGGTAATAAGCTGCCGTGTGTGTGTAGACTGCTGAGCTGTGAAAGTGGCAGCAGATAATGAAGAAGATGAGGAATGGGAGAGAGGTGAGGAAAGGATGTATAGAGGAGGAAGTCTGCTACCTCTCTTCTTTTTCTACCCTAACCCATCCTCTTCCCAAAACAAAACAATCACCTCCTTCTTTTGAAACATACAGAAGCTGGAGGAGGAAGACGAAGAGGAGGAAGAGGAGGAAGACTCACCTTGGTTTGTGTTTCCTCCTGCAGAGCCACATCCGGACCGTCTTCTGCATCTTAATGCAGGCGCTGGTCCGGTACAAGATCTTGTTCTTCACTGCAAGAGAAGACACAAAGGAACTATTAGCCACCTTTAGCTTAGCGGTGGTGACGTGAAGTCATGTGACCGTGCTGTAGTTCCTTTATAGCCCAACATTAGCCACCTTTAGCTTAGCGGTGGTGATGTGAAGTCATGTGACCGTGCTGTAGTTCCTTTATAGCCTAACATTAGCCGCCTTTAGCTTAGCGGTGGTGACGTGAAGTCATGTGACCGCGCTGTAGTTCCTTTATAGCCCAACATTAGCCACCTTTAGCTTAGCGGTGGAGACGTGAAGTCATGTGACCGTGCTGTAGTTCCTTTATAGCCTAACATTAGCCGCCTTTAGCTTAGCGGTGGTGACGTGAAGTCATGTGACCGTGCTGTAGTTCCTTTATAGCCCAACATTAGCCTCCTTTAGCTTAGCGGTGGTGACGTGAAGTCATGTGACCGTGCTGTAGTTCCTCTATAGCCCAACATTAGCCACGTTTAGCTTAGCGGTGGTGACGTGAAGTCATGTGACCGTGCTGTAGTTCCTTTATAGCCCAACATTAGCCACCTTTAGCTTAGCGGTGGTGACGTGAAGTCATGTGACCGTGCTGTAGTTCCTTTATAGCCCAACATTAGCCACCTTTAGCTTAGCGGTGGTGACGTGAAGTCATGTGACCGTGCTGTAGTTCCTTTATAGCCCAACATTAGCCACCTTTAGCTTAGCGGTGGTGACGTGAAGTCATGTGACCGTGCTGTAGTTCCTTTACAGCCCAACATTAGCCACCTTTAGCTTAGCGGTGGTGACGTGACTTCTAAATCACATCGACAAATCCCATTGGACGAGGGAGATGCTGCCTTCAGGGACCAACATGGGTAAACAATCATTTTTTTATCCTGAAATCTCTCGTAGAAGCACTCAAAGTGTTCGTTTTTTAAATTGCTTTATCCAGGAGGTCGAGACACTTTGAGGTATCTCCTGCTCTTTCCTCTCCTTCTGGAATCGCCTCATGTTTTTTCCAGTAAATCATCTGCCAGACTTTTCCATTTTAAAGCCCATTAGTGCTTCATGGTCTCCTCCTTTTCTGCCAACTCGCTGCCAGGTGATGATCCAGCATATCGATCAGTGTTCTGGCACAAAATCCCTTATTGACTAAGCTTGGTGTTCAGTATGGACAGGCTCTGATTACCATAAAGAAAACAGAGCTCCAGTCTCTCTGCAGAACTGGTCTTTTTTTCTGGGACTACACCCAGTGACCCTGAGAGAAGATGGATCTCTGTTTGGTGCAGAGGCAAGGTTCAAGGCTTTTATTGTCATTTATACCAAGCTACAGTGTAGATCAGTGCTTCTCAAAGTGTGGTCCGCGGACCACTGGTGGTACGTGAGCGCCCCCTAGTGGTCCGTGAGTATATTGGTAACATTTCCCATTTGAAATAAATAAATAAATTTAAGTTTTCCGCACTCTCGCGGGAATATCTCCGCAATGGAGCGAGCTTAAGTTTAACTTTCGATTGCATGATATAGCCTAGCGCAACACCTTCATCACACATGTTGCCACTTGTTTGTACCATTTTCAGGCGATTTGTAATCTGTTCTAGAAAAACGATGTGATTTTGGATATTTGTGGAGTTAGGTGGTCCGTGAGTGTTTTTGTATTGGTTAAGTGGTCCTTGGTATGAAAAAGTTTGAGAAACACTGGTGTAGATATATCAATGAAAATCTGAGGCCACAGGCTCCTCCAACAGAACACAATAAAACAGATAACTTTTACTCAAGTACAAGACCTGAGTACTTCTACTTTTACTCAAGTACTAGATCTGAGTACTTCTACTTTTACTCAAGTACAAGATCTGAGTACTTCTACTTTTACTCAAGTACAAGATCTGAGTACTTCTACTTTGACTCAAGTACAAGATCTGAGTCTTACTCAAGTATTTATTGTGTTGTTGTCCCACTAGGAGAAATGTAACTTGCAGCAGAACACATGCTACGATGCTAAGCTAGCAGAATGTGCAATGTCCTCGGGTCAAATTTGTTCCAAATGTCGTAATAAAGGTTTATTTTATGGTGAAATAGCACTTGTGGTTGTATACTACACGTTTTGCAAGGTAAACAGTTAGGATCACTTCCATCAGGTTTTGGGTTTTATTCAAATGATAGCATCTGGGGTCTTCTGGGGTCTTTTTGAAACTAAAAAATAGGTTTAATTCAGTATGAATGAGCTCTATTGGCCGTACATTTCCAAAAGAAGGGTAAAGCTTTGAGAGGATTAAGTTTCCTTTGAAGGTGTAACACAGATCTTTATTTGTACTATATGCTTTAAAAAGTGCCAGATAAATACATGTGTTATCAGATAAAAAGGTACATTTATTCCCCTGAAATGAATAAAGGAGATTACTCACTTGTAATAATATGAAATGTCCCGTCCTCCCGCTCTAACTTCTGTGTTATTGCACCGATGCATTCTGAATTGCTTTTATTTGATACACTAACACACTATGCAGAATGTCTCATTATTTATGATCCGTCTCATCTCAAGTCTCTGGCAGACGCTGTTTTCCTGTCGTGCAAATGAAGCGAATTTTGCAGTCAGAAAATTAGAGAAGTAAAAGAAAAGATAAACGGAGGAAAAGATCGATGACAACTTTACGAGCGGCCAGATTCATTTCATCGGTTTATGGCTTCAGAATATTTAGTGTCCACGCCGTCAATAAGAGAAGGAATGACTTTGCTTTTTAAAAATCACTTTCTTCCAAAACAAATAAGAGACTGAACTGACGTCAAAACACTGAAATAAACTGAGTGTGTGTGTGTGTGTGTGTGTGAGTGTGTGTGTGTGTGTGTGTGTGTGTGTGTGAGTGTGTGTGTGTGACATGAGTGTGTGAGTGTGTGTGTGACATTGTGTGTGAGTGTGTATGAGTGTGTATGCGTGTGACATTGTGTGTGTGTGAGTGTGTGAGTATGTGTGTGACATTGTGTGTGTGTGTGAGTGTGTGAGTATGTGTGTGACATTGTGTGTGTGTGAGTGTGTGAGTGTGTATGTGTGTGACATTGTGTGTGTGTGTGAGTGTGAGTGTGTATGTGTGTGACATTGTGTGTGTGTGTGAGTGTGTGAGTGTGTATGTGTGTGACATTGTGTGTGTGTGTGAGTGTGTGAGTATGTGTGTGACATTGTGTGTGAGTGTGTATGTGTTTATGTGTGTATGTGTGTGACATTGTGTGTGAGTGTGTATGTGTTTATGTGTGTGTGTGTGTGTGTGTGTGTGTGTGTGTGTGTGTGAGTGTGTGAGTGTGTGAGTGTGTGTGTGCGAGTGTGTATGTGTGTGACATCGTGCGAGTGTGTATGTGTGTGACATTGTGTGTGTCTGTGTCTGTGTGTGTGTCTGTGTGTGTCTGTGTGTGTCTGTGTGTGTCTGTGTGTGTGTGTGTGTGTGTGCGTGCGTGCGTGTGTGTGCGTGCGTGTGTGTGCATGCGTGCGTGTGTGTGTGTGAATAAACTCACCTCTTTAGACCAGATGTTAACGTGTGATTGATGCCTTGTGATAAATGTGGTTTTAATGATCTTATTTCTTTACCTCTGTAAAGCGTCTTTGAGCACCTGATAAAGCGCTCCATAAATAAAATGTATTATTAATATAAGAGTTGTGATTAATGTTTAATGTGAAACAAGGATATCCAAAATGCCTTTGAATTGAATCGATGAAGAGAAGAGACTGCGATCGAGTGACATGAGGAGGAAAGACGAGAGAGAGCGAGAGGCAGAGCGAGAGCGAGAGCGAGAGCGAGAGCGAGCGAGAGACAGAGAGAGAGACAGACAGACAGACAGACAGACAGAGCGAGAGAGAGAGAGAGGAGAGA